TGCTTATTAGTGTCAAAGCCTCAAACCTGTTCCTGAGATGGTTTTGAAATTAAGGTGGGATAGACTCAAGGTCAAATTTTGGTTCCCATGGACTTGATTTAATAGTCTCCAGCTTCACCTTGAACTTGCATATGAGTAGTTGATGGTCTGTTCCACAGTCAGCACTTGGCCTAGTTTTCACAGCTAATGCTGAGCTTCTCCAGTGATTCCTTCCACAGATGTAATCGATCTAATTCCTTTTCATACTCTCAGTTGAAATCCCTGTGTATAGTTTGCATTTATGTTTCTCATAAAATGTATTTGCATTAAATGATTACAAATTAATAATGTGGAACTGTTTTACCACATTTTATAACAGTATGTAAGTATTCTGCTAATACATATCAGTGTCTTTGAAAATGTGTATGAGAGACTACATTTTAGTTTAGGGGGGCATATTATCCATAAAATTTGTTCAATTTCTTTTTGTATATTTTATATTAATACTTCTACCTAGGTTAAATTTCTGTCCATTATTTTACATCCTTGATTTTAGCTACATCATTTTGGAGAACATTCATCTGTTGTTGTTGTTAATTGCCTTCAAGTCGAGCACGACTCATAGCAACTCTGTGAACAAAAGGCTTGAAGCCCCTCTAGAAGTATCGACATTTATCAAAGTTCATAGAGTTTCCGGAAGCATGTTATTTAGGAACTGGATGGCACTCCTGCTTCAACATACAATGTTAATATATGAATATTGGTTTTTTGCTAGCATAGTCAAAATAATTTAAGTTAATGAAGTTAATATCTGTCTACCAAATAATATTTCCTATTCCAGTTTTATATACTGCGCTTAAATATTTAGCCAGTAATTTTCAAGGATGTCACTGTTGTTACATGCTATCATGTCACGTGCAATCCATAGTGACCCTGTATACAGCAGCTCTGAAGCCTTGCCCTGTTCTGAGCCAGTCTCACTGACTCAGAAACACTTGCACCCATTGCCCAGTTACTGTATCAATCCACTTCATCTGGATCCTGCTTCCGTACTGTCCCTCCACCCTTCTGAGCATGATGTCCTTCTCCAAGGACTGGACCTTCCTGGCTCTGTCCACCAAGTATGTGAAACAGAGCTTCAAATTCCTAGCCTCTGAGGGGAAACTTGGTTTACCCTCTCCAAGGTAGACCTATTTGATTTCTTGGAGGTCTTTGGTATGTTCAGCACTCCTCTCTAGCACCACAAATCAAAGGCATCTATTATTCTTGTCATCCTTAGCCATTGTCCAGCTCTCTGACGCAAAGCAAGAGTATGGCCTGAATTATATATAGTTGATTTACTTATGTGTTTTACTTAAGAGTTTCTCTTTACATATAAGGTATTTATTATATCCAGTTAAATAGAAAAATTCATCTTTTATGTTTTTCTTTTTTTTATTTCTTCACCATCTGCTGCTACTTCATCGTTCTAAAATCTCTAAATCCAATGGAGCAACATTCATAATTCCTTCATCTAATAAAAAAAGAACATTTTCATTTCCTGATGCCAGCTTATGTTTCATGTGTATGTGCACGCCCTATTTGTATCATAGTCTTAAAGTCCACTTTTAGAAAGCATTGCTTTCATATTTTTTCTATTGACAGTCATGTTTCTTTTTACCTTCAGTGCCCTGTCTTTCTCTATCACTGATCCTTACACTTCTCATCCACAGTTTTTGCCAAGGTGATTACACTAACTATCAGAGGATTGGAATTTTAAGGGTTTTTGAGTTATTTTTATTAGGTTTTAATGAAAGTTTATAAAGAACTTGGATTTCCATTCATTCATTGTTAACTTTTTCCTCCCTGTTCCTTGCCGCCGCCCCACCCCCCCCGCCCAGCCCTCCAGTTCGCTTTTTTCTTTAGAAATTACAGAGCTGTACTTTTTTATAGATTTCATATCTTTCTTGGTTAGTTACAGGGTTTTTTTCTTATTTGAACTTTAAATTGATATTTGTTCTTCCTCCCCGTCCCCCCCCAAAAAATCCTTTGGGAGATTATAATTGTAACTATATTAAGTTTATAAATTATTTACTTTTTTTTATATGCTTTCTCCTGAGAATTAGATTGGTATAGAATACATGAAAGTGTTTATGAATGTAATGCTCATTTAAGGGAAAATCAATAGCAAAAACTATTATACTAGATTATTATTGCTATATAACTGAATTTCTTTTAACTTTATATCATTTGTAAAATGGTGTTAATGACATTAGAACATCAGAATGTTATGATGACTAAATAGTGCCTGACTGGTAGTGAGCTCTCACTGAATGTTAAAAAGCGTATCAGATCAGAACTGTCACTAAAAATTAGAGATTATATCTTTTAAAAAACAAAATCACAAGTACATAGTAAAGCCAGCCACAACTCTGTTGCTGCTTGTTGAATGTTGATAGTATAGGAAGTGTGTGTGTTTCAAGTCTCATGAGGCTTCCAGACACTGTGGATTGAAGTACAATTAAGCTTCTGAATTATTTTTTTTAATTCTACATTCTATTATTTCTTTCTCCAGAACAATATAATCAGTACTTCAATATAATAGTTCTTTAGATAATTATTGTTAACTTCTCTTGCTTATTTAACATTGTATATCATCAATATGTCCTACCTTTAGGGCTTTTATAAGAGTTGAAGTAAATGTTCTGTTAACTAGATTTAGCTTAATACCTAACTCTTGCTAAACACAATATATTGTTGTGTGCCTTTGAGTAAGAACCAGCCTATAGCAGATTTCCAGAGGCGGTAAATCATACAAGAGGAGATTACTTATCCTTCTCCCATGAAGCAGTAGTGGATTTGAACTGTGTTTGAAATTGCAGCACAGCTTCTCACCATTAGACCATCAGAGAATTCAATGGAAAAGAGCGTTTCAGTACTTCTGTGTGTTTAGTGGGAGATAGTAGCAATAGAGCCAATTAATGTCACAGTTATTATAATTAGTAGGAATATTGAACATGCAAAGCCACCATTATCCCATTGTTGATAAGTCATTTCTGATCTATAGCTGATTCCTTTTCAGCTTTCCAAGGCTAAAAATCTTTATGTGAAATAACTCATCTTTCTCCCTTGGAGTGGCTAGTTAATCCAAACTGCTGACTTTCAGTGGGTAGCTCAGTGTATTATACTCTAGACCACTGGGGCACCTTGCAGCAAAAGTGTTAATAAATTTTGTGTAAGCCAGTGGGCAGCCAGGTCCATGCTTTCCATTGCCACTCCTGTACATAAAACCTGTATGGCCATAACTACTTAAGGTAATTACCCGTCTCATTTTTTTACCTGCATACACAGGTATTTTGCTCATAAGTAGTTCTGATCTTGTTATGTTTCATCTCAAAAAAAAGTGAGGCAAGCAGAACTATAATGATGTGAATGGTCTAGTTTCTGTCTTGGCTTTTAAGACCTTCTACTGTCATTTCTTGAACATATTTTTAGACCTCTAGACAAATAACTCTAAGAAATAACTGGCTTTATTATTCCCAGTTTCCAGTGAAGGTTATTTATTTTCAGTTGAACAGCTGAAATCACCTTGATTAAGATTAGTCCATTTTTCTGATTTGAAAGTTGCTGCTAGGGCCTAGTCAGTGTTGTAAATGTTTGCTAAATTAAATTCTTGAGTTGTAGACATTAGGCTTTATACAGCATTGAATTATAATTGATTTTGCTATAGTGCAAGGAGCCCTGGTGACATAGTGCATAAAGTGTCAGGTTACTAACAAGAAGATTAGCAATCCAAATCCAGCAGCCAGACACTCTACAAGGGGAAAGTGAGGTGGTTGCCTCCCATAAAGAATTACAACCTTGGAAACTCAATCAAGAGCTGTTATGAGTCAGAATTAGTTCAATGGCAGTAGTTTGCTATAGCTCCTGCTAAACTCAGGAGAGTTTTGTTATACTCTAAAGCATTTTCTAGTTTCTTCTCAGGAGATGACTCCCAGGTACAGTTCTTTGCACTTTTAAACGCATACTCTCTCTTTACTTTCTCTTCTATTATGAAGAGCTCTTTGAGAAGAAGGATCACAGATTATTCAGTGGAATAATCTTTGTTGAAGATTATTATCAATGTAACCTTCCATTGGTCCTAAAATGTTGTACTCTCAGTTACAACTGTTTCACCTTCCTTCTTAGGTCTGTGGTTGATTTATTTAGAAGGTTCTTCATTCTCCTTATTTTATTATTTTAAAGAAAGTTTCACACATTTTCGACACATCTGTATGATAATAAAGTGAGGCTTTAGATGATGTGAGTTTAGGACCTGGAGAATAATTTGGTGACATAAGTAGGTGAATTAATTTAGTGGTTTCTCTGGCATATTCGGGAACCTGGATGTTGCAAGCAGTCTGCAGTCAGCTGCTATCCTAACAGAAGCTCCAGTGATAGAGTGATAAGGAGTTGCTTTGCTAACCCAAAAGCAAGCAGTTCGAATCCACCAGCTGCTCTTCAGAAGAGAGATGAATAGTCTCCTTCCCTATAATTTACAGCCTCTAAAACCAGCTGGAGGATCTTCTAAGTCTGTTCTGACTCAACAACACATAATAGCCATAAGCTGCCCTAGAGGTGGGCATTTCAAAACCACCCCACAGCTTCAGTCCAGGTAATTGGGTAATTGTTAGGCTAAGCTGTGAGCTCTCTGAAGATCTGCAAATCAACTCTGCTTTGCCCCTGCCACGGTGCCATTGGAGAGCATGGAGCAAGGAGTTTCCATATGTTCATTCAGTGAAAGATGAAGGGTTTGAAAGATACAGGCATGATTAAGAAACACTGTTTAATAAAAAACTTGGGAGTCAGATGAAGAGAAGACAGTATAAAAGGTGACACTAGATAAACTTTTGCCTTTGTATTTAGTAAAGATTTGAAGTTGATTTCTTTTTTCTTTTTATTAAATATTCAGCTTTATTTTTGGGGAGAAAAAATTTTTTATTAAGATTTTTGTCTGTGATGTGTCAGGTGTTTCTGTTTTAATAGTCTCTTAACCTGTTGAGTTGTCCTGCCTTCTTCCTACAGTCGGGGACGTGTCCTGTGTGCCGTCGTCATTTCCCACCTGCCGTTATTGAAGCCTCGGCAGCTGCCGCCTCAGAGTCTGATCACGATTCTCCACCTTCCACCCAGAGCACTGCAGACACTTCCTAAACCTCCACGATTGAACAGAGATCAATTCGGTATCAAAGCAGATCTGCAAAGTTCTTCTCAAACGGATGTGCAAATAATTCTATATAAATATATTTAAAATGCTATATATAGTATATGCCATAGTTTGGAAAGAGAATATTAACCTTTCTAAACTAAATTTAGGTTTGCAGAAAGTACTAGACATTTTCCAGCTGAATGTTTAAACTGCATTTTCTTTAGTTGAATATGTTGATACTAATTGTAAATTCACGTTTATCGTTTTACTCTTTTCAAAAGAAATAATCATCTATGTGGCATATATTACTGATTTTGTCTAAAGTTCTGCCACTAAGTGATTATGAATGAGCTCTCCTATTTGCATCAAATGAAACGACTTTGTGATCACAACAGTAGAAGAATTTGGTTTCACTGGAAATAAATGAATTCTGTGGCATGCTTTTTCATTGGTCCCTTTGCTTTTACTACATCAAAACCTAATTCATAATATTGAATGATTTTTTTTAAAATGTATCTTCTTTCATTTTTTTCTATAATTTAAACTTTTCAAATTACTCATCAGAGGCAAAAATTTGTCCAAAGCATCATAATTTTTTTTTTTTTTTTTTCATTTAAGGTGTAATTCCCCTCCATTAGGTTATATAGTAAGAAACATTGTTTATCTAATATAATGGGTGTACCTTTAGCAGCAAGGAGTGTTATGAAAAAGAAGAGTAAAATGAAGAACCTTTCTTGACACAGTGGTGTGCATCGATGGCCTTATAACATCCTTGCCAAGCCCTTACTCCACCTGTTTCTAGAAACTTGGTTAAAATGATACTTGAGGCATATTTAATAAGTATCAGTTAGGTTGATGAAATTTTTATTCAGAAATATTTTGTAAAATCTAAAACCCTGCATTCAAACATTCATTCTGTTATATTCTAAAGGAAAATCAGAATCCTTAAAGACGAAATAAATGGTTAATTATACTAACTTATATTAAGCATAAAATTAACCTGCTAAAAGATAGAATTGGCCACACTTTTGTACAACCTATTTAAATGTCACTGTGGTAAACATAATATTTTCAAATTTTCTTAAACAGAGTTTATTTGTATTACATTACTAGAGTTTTTTCTTTATATTCATGTATTTTCCTAAACTTTTTCATCTGGAGCTAAAATTAAAAATAGGTCATTTTAAACTAAACTGAGTGAAAAGAGAATAGATGATGAGATGATTGAACAGTGGCTAAGGGAACATGTTCCTTTTTTAAAAGAGAAAAAAGATCAGGCCTCAGATTTACCCAGTGAAAGAGTTCTATTCACAGACTTGTATAGAAGATAGGAATTCATTTTCTTCATTTGTTTAATGGGAAGCTTGACCCAGAGGATAATCTTTGTAATTATATTTGTATAATGAAATAAATTGCACCGTTCTTTATTTAGGTGATCATACACAGTAGGCAAGTGTGCGCAAAAGTGGCATAATGTTTACCGTACACTCTAGGTGTGTGAAGTTGTCAACAATAGAGAATTATGGGTATTTATAACATCATGTTTGAACAAGTGAAATAGCAAGGCACATAACTAAGTGTACATCCATCCAAATGTTATTGTGATGAATTTGTTTGGGTACAGGAATACTTACATGACTTTCCAAATGCAGAATTCCGTTTTATTTATGTAATTTCTCTGATTATTTATATTCTACCCCTTCTCTCCATCCTTAAAAATAAGTGAATTTTCACTGTTGGCACATTTGAAGCTTAAAAATAAGGAACATAACACTTGCATTCTAATTTGTGCATATATTGTAAATGTGTCTGGTATTTACAACAAAATACTGTGTATCCTTTTATGAGTAAAACAAAACTGAACATTGCATGCATGTAATGTGGTGAATTTGTAATTTAGGGATTCTTTGGGGCTTCTGTGATTTGGGAGATGCTTACATTCAGGCCTTAACATTGCATTAGCTAGCATGTTCTCCTGATGTATATAGTCACTGTTGTATAAACTAATCTTTGCTTGTTTTCTACTCTGTGATCTTTCCATACCATATTTCATTGATGATCGGTTAGTGTTGAGGAATCAAATCAGATTAAAATTAATTCTCATGTGTATATTGTGGAAATTTGTGGCTAGTGTAATTTTTTAGTTGTTGTTGGTTTATTTCCTTTCAAGTAATATTGATCAGTTGTAACATTTGCTGGTTACACTGACATTACTACTGATTTCTCTGTAATAAGCCACACATTATGTTTAGGCAGTATTAAGGGACTTAGGTTTTCTTCTAATAGCAGCTGTCCCAAAGAAAATATTTCTTCTTTGCCTGTTAAGATTTAGCTATTGTCTGCCAGTTGTTAAAAGGTTTTTGTTCCAAACTCAACCAGTAATGTTGAGCACTGAAGTTAAGATAGTTGTCCTTTTTGCTTTCCATCTGTTACTGTCCTTCCTTTTTGACTCTCTACTCTATAAACAGCTGCTATGAAGGAGAAAAACTGAATAAGAGTTGACTTAAACTTTGTTTAAAAAGGAAAGAAAATTGAAGTTTTAGGATTGTTGTGGTAACAACCTATGTACTGAAGTTGAAAAGTTCAGTCACCAAAATATAATTTCATTATATCTTGAATCCTTTTGAAAAAGTTATGACTATATGAAGGTAAATTAAAAATAAGTATGCCTATTAATTAAAATATTGTTTCTCTTATTTTTTGTTATGTTAAGTGACTTCACCTAATTTTTTTAACACTTTTCTTATTTCTTGTAATACGAGTGATATTTAAAGGTAGATCCATATGGACTTTTTTGTGTGTGTTTTCTAATTGTTTCTCTTTAAGCTAACTAACACTTCAAGATTATTTGTGATTTGGTTTTATATATAAGCTGTTAAATATATATGAACTGTTGAAATGGAATGCAAGTTTTTCAAAAGCCCAGGTCTAAATGTAATGATTGGTTTATTGTTCTACAATCCCAGCCCATCATTTTCTGTGTAAATCATAAATAATAAACAGGATATACTCAGTTGTCATTTCTTATATTTAATTATATAATCATATCACGTTTATAATTTGACCTATAAGAGATTTGGTGTTTTTGTTAAAGAACCCAGGTAGAATAGGGTTCTGAGCACATGACGTTGTAGTCCTTGATCTGTGATCTGAGAGAGCCCTACAAAGACCCCAGCCAAACTACGTCTTTCCTTCTGAAGAGGCTCAGAGAAAGAAGTCCCTTTCCTAGCAATCCTGTAGGTTTAATTAGAACCTGGTTTCCATACTGGTTTAAAAGTGCCAAAGTTCCAGTATGAGAACTGGCTCTTCTCATTGGCTCCCTTCAATCTGGGCGTGGAACTGTGGCTATGTCTACTTGTTAGAAAGATAATACTTGGTTTCCAAAGGTTTTCGTCAGAGACCTCACTTATTTCAAAAAGATCAGTTGAATACTGATTATGCGTAGGATAAATTTGAAAACTAGTTCTTTCGCTCAAAAACTTTAGAGTTTAGAATTCTGATTCTCCCTTAGCAGGAGAGTAAAATTGCAGACCACAATGGCTCATCTATTTTATAGTGCCAAAATTCTTTTATTATTTAATCTTTTGCTTCTGGAGTTGGAATACTTGGGACTTCTAGAAGGAAAGGATTGAATTCTTGGAACCACCCAAAATTTTCTATGAGAGGCATATGTATAGACAAAAAAAAGGCCCCGTTGCTTCTTTGAGGTCCCTTTCCTATCATCCCTCAGCTTCACACTACCCTAAAATCTTTCTGTTTATTCCAGACCCCATAGTGTAATTGGCTTTCAGTTTTCAATCCTTCTTAAAATAGGTTGTTGAGACCCATTACTCTACAGTAATTTCTGATCTGAGTACTACAGGACAAGCATGTAAAGACTGCTCATGTGAAGTGACTCGTGCCACATATGAAGTGACTGGTAGGTTTGAACCTCACACTGTTAGTTGTGAAGCACTTAATCATTGCACTGTGAGGCTTTTTTTGATTAAGACTTAATGTATTATTTCTAACTGCACATTTCTAACAGTCAAAAAAAGTGTCCTAGGGCTTTATTGCCTACTTCATAATGATTGTAATATGGCTGTATAAGGTTGCATGATTTTAATTATTACTATTATTACTCATTGATTATGCAAAGGCACTTGACTGTGTGGACCATAACAAACCATGGCTGACTCTGAGAAGAATGGGAATCCCAGAACACCTGATCGTTCTAATGCGAAACCTATTCTTGGACCAGGAGGCAGTCATCAGAACAGAGCAAGGAAACACTGCGTGGATAAGAGTTGGGAAGGGTGTATGCCAGGGATGCATCCTGTCTCCATACCTTTTCAGTCTTTATGCAGAACAGGTTATCTGGAAGGCTGGGCCCTATGAGGAGAAATGGGGCATCAGGATTGGTGGAAGAATCATCAACAACCTGTCTTATGCAGATGACACAACCGTGCTTGCTGAAACTGAGGAGGACCTCATGCACTTACTGCAGAGGGTCAAGGACTGCAGCCTTCAATATGGACTGAGACACAATATCAAGAAAACAAAGATTCTCATCACTGGGCCGATTGCCAGCATCATAATGGATGGTGAAGAGATTGAGATTGTTCACAGTTTTGGTTTGCTTGTCAACACTCTTGGCACCAGCAGGCAGGAAATTAAAAGACGTATTGCGATGGGAAAGTCTACAGTTAGAGACCTCTCTAAAGTGCAAAGACTTCAGTCTGGAGACTAAGGTGCGCCTGATACATGCATTGGTCTTTGCAATCACTTGCTATGCATTGAAGAGCTGGAAAATGACTAGGGATGATAGAAGGAAAATTGTTACCTCTGAGCTGTGGTGTTGGAGAAGAGTATTGACTATACCATGGACTGCCAGGAAGACAAACAGGTTTATCCTGGAGAGGGTGAGGCTGGGCTGCTCCTTGGAGGCAAGGATTCTGAAGCTTCATCTGACATGCATGGACATGTTGCAAGGAGGGACCAATTCTTAGAGAGGGACATCATGCTT